GTATTTTTGGGTTTGGTACCTGATATTTTTCTTTGTTTTGTTGTTGTTGTTGTTGGTGTTTCTGTGTTTGTTTGTCTGTCTTAGTTTTATTTTATACCCATAAGGTCACCTGTGGCATATACTCACATATTATGTTGGGGATATGTTACCTTGTCTTTTTTGTATTTTTACAAGTGTAAGAAGAAAAGTTTTCACGTGCAGATACTTTTTACTCTTGAAATCATTGTATTTGATTCAGTAGTTAATCACAGTAGCAAGTCCTACTGACATTTATCTCCCAAATCTTCAGTAGTTTGGGTAAATACCAGTGCTATTCATCAAATTACTTTCCATAGGGTTGGTATTGCCTCACTTTGCTCATTCAATAAGCTATGGCAATTGTCAGAATATTATCAAGGCAAAATTTAGTTAGGTCTTTACTTTGAACAAATAGATGAAAACACGAATATAAGCAGATGCAAGAAGAAAAAAAATAGTATTAATAATGAATTGAGAATGTCTTCAGCTTGCTTTTTAAGATCCTTGTCATATGTGAAATTATATTATATTCTAAAAATCATTATTCAAGCACAAAGGTCAACATTATGGTCATTTGAGGTAAAATAGAAGCATCAATGCTCATGTTTAGTGATGCTGGATATAATACTCGAACTTGATACATGTAAGATACTTCTGCATGGCAACATTATTTATTGCTATTTTCCAGAATCTCATTCACTATCTAGGAGTTTAGCAGTTTTTGTGCTATGATACTTTTTTTTTTCTTGTTTCCTCCTGATGCATGAGAAGTATTAGTATGGAAATCATCAGTGGAGTGAAACATTAAAAAGAAAATACATGTACTCTTTACATGTATTGGGGTGCTAAGACTGTGATCTTTTATAGTATTAATATTGTATACGCATCAAAGCTTCCATCAGATTTCTTTCTTTCTTTCTTAATTCATCAGTGACAGTATTAGAAATCTCTTGGCTTCTTAGACTCCAGTGATTTCTGGAAACCGTCCTGCAGTTGAGAGCAGAAGTCCACACTTGCAACAGAACTTCCCACTCGACACGCTCTAGCACTTCGCCACACATATAGCAGTACCCAGCAGATTGAGCGGTTTGTTATGACGGCTATACACATGATCCGGCAGTAACAGGTTAAGGGCATGGAAGTGGCTTAGTTTTTAAAATTTACTAACTTTAATATCACTGTTTCATTCTCATGCATGAAAATCTGAGTATTAGGCTTACTTTTGTTGTGTAGTTTGTAGGCCTGGCCTACACTCACATTCATGCCTGGTATTAAGACTGCTTACCTCCTCTTTGCATTATTATTAACTGTTTTCCTGCAAATAAGTTATTGCTGTTTTCCCATTTTCTGAGGTCTATATTTGTTATGCTGTATGAAGATGATGGTAATAGAAAATTTTTATTGAACAGTATTCATAATATCCGTCCAGGTAGCTTACACTGATTGCAATAACAGTAACATATAACCTTGTTATTTGCATTATTTAAAAATATTTTTGTAATGTCCGATATTCAGCAATAAAACCTACATTCCCATTAATGGCAGGCAAAAATTGGTTTCTGTGAGTGAACATTATACCATCTGTGGAAACGGCCAAGGCTCACAGATGGTGCAAGCCCTCATGAATCAGTGAAATAATGTAGGAATCCCTTCCTGAAAGCCTGCGGAGGCAATCTCCCTCCAAATACTTCGCACATTCGTGATGCAAGATCCCTTATCCAAATTTTTCCATGACAAGACATTACTGTCACCTGCCCCTTGCCTAAACTTTTTTCATGACGGGACATGACCCCCCTCCCTTTACCAGGAACTAACAGG